TAAGCTTCAACGCCGTCAAGAAAGCTTTGACTGCAACTCCAGTGCTCACTCACTATGACCCCTGTAGTCATCACACTGTGGCAACGAACGCATCGTCGTACGGTCTCAGAGCAGTTCCTCCTCAAGAGACAGATGGTCGGAGACTTCCAGTTGCCTATGCCTCAAGGACCCTCTCCAACATGGAGACGCGATATAAGCAGACAAAGAAGCACAGGCAGTAGCATGAGCCTGCGAGCATTTCCGCTCCTATCTGCTTGGTCTCCAGTTTTATGTGGAAATTGATCCCAAGCCACTGGTGCCATTGTTGTCATCAAGCCACCTGGACGAACTTAGTCCTCGCCTGCAACAGTTCCGTATGAGGCTTTTCGAGTTCGATTACACCATTACCAACAACCAAGGCAAGCAAATGCATACAGCCGACTTGCTCTCAAGGAAACCACAGAAGGAAACCGGCAACAGCAGTCCAAGGAGCCTCAGCAAGTCCATCAGAGAACACGAAATTCTCACTATGGAACTTCTGCCTGCTTCCCACGATATGCTTGCAAATATAAAGACAGCTCAAGAGCACGATCGCGTTCTAGCAAGAGTCAGGGACTACTGCATTCCGTCATGGCCCAAAGAAGTGGCATTACCTTCGAACATGCAGAGGTATTCAGAATTCGCCCATGAACTGATACAAGTAGATGGCCTTTTACTTAAGGACATTTGCATTGTCATTTCACCAAGCATGCAAGATGATGTGCTAGAACGCATGCAGGCTGGTCGTCAGGATGTTGGGAAATGTAGGGCTCGAGCCACTCAATCTGTATGGTGGCCAGGCATCAAACAGCATGTCCAAAGTTATGTGTCAAGATGCCCTGTCTGCCAACAACACCACAAACCACACGCTTAGCCCATGATACACAACTCACTTCCCAAACATTCCTGGAAAGCGATAGGAATCAATCTCTTCAGCGTGGATGGCGTTAACCATCTCGTAGTAGTGGACGATTACTCTCGCTTCATTGAACTCGACAACTTGAAGCGTACCACCACAGAGAAAATAACACAAATACTGTGCCATTCATGTGGTTTGGGGCACTAGCTATCATACGATCGGACAATGGCCCTCCGTTCGCTACGACAAAGTTCAAGGCGTTCGTCAATCACTGGAGATCAAGTCACATAACCAGCAGCCCCTACTTCCCTCGGATTAACGGCACAGCAGAAAGAATGGTTCAGACCGCTAAACAGTTGATCATGATATCGCCAAACATCTACAAGGCTCTTCTGGCTCACAGAGACACTCCAGGGAAAAATGGATTTACACCAGCGGAACTCCTCATGGGAAGGCACCTACGAGCCAACATGGCACCACAGAGGCTGAAGCCTCAGTGAAAACTAAACACAGCTTACAAGGCCAAACAGGGCCAACAGTATAACCAGAAACACAGGACCTTGGCAAGAGATCCCATTCAACCGCATACAGCTGTCCGCATTCTGTTAGGTACTCCAACAACAGGGACTGCCATCGGGCCGGTTCCCACGCCTCGCTCATACATCCTGAGCACAGCTGGTGGAGGTCTCATGAGACAAGCCAGCAAACATCTGCAGCCTCTACAACCAGTGGTGACGTCAAGAAGTGGGCGAACAGTTCAAGTACCAAGTAGGCTCGATCTGTGACGTGCAAGAGAGCTGCTTCAAACAAAAGGAGGTGTTGTGGGTGTTTTGAGAGGGCGCCAAGTTTACGGCGTCACCTCGTCACATGAACAGCAATCGGCAGTACTGTGCGCGAGGAACCAGGGGTAACTGGTTGTAACTTTTGAAATTCTACCTTGAGTCTACTGCAATCAGCCACCAGAAAGGTACCTACGTCCAAAAAGCTGGAATTTGCATCGGTTCCCCGGTTGCACCTGTCATCAGTGACATATTCTTGGCAGCTTTCGACCAGCACTTGAAGGATGAGCTGTCCCATTTTGGTGTCGTTCGCACCTTCAGCTATGTGGACAACTATCTGATTGTGTTTGGGAAGGTACCATGTGAACGTGTACAGAGTGTTGTGAAAGCTGTCCTTGAGGTTTTCAACAGACACTCCAGTGGCCTGAAGTTCACCCATGAAATGTTGGTCGATAATGAAATTCAGTTTGTGAACCTACAGCTGAGGTTTGCCAAGGAGCACATCTGCTTTAAATACAATACGTGATCTAAGAAAGGCTTGTTGCCTTTTGAAAGCGCGCACTCGAAGTTGATTAAGAGGGGCATTGTGTTGTCAGCTTGTGCGGCGACCCTTGATAAGTCCTGCCCACATTTGATGTTTGAAAGCTTCAAGAATCAGGTAGTTCATCTGGGCGCGGCTCGGTACCCGACACAAATTATAGCTAGTGCTTGCGAAAGCCTTCTTAAAGAATTCAAGGGCGAGGGTCCAAATGTCGAAGAAAGGAAGAGGAGGCCTATTTAAAGTTATGCCGTACTTACAACATGGTGTTTCTTACAATGTAAAAAAGGTGGCTAATAGGCACGGCATTGTTGTAGTGTTTTCAGCGCCTACAAAGTCAGGTCAGATCTGTTCGTTAATGACTAAACAGAAGAAGGCAGAATGCACAAGAAATCATGCAAACGTGTTTATTAGATGTGTATTTGATCTTGTGTATCTGATCCCTTTGTCGTGTGGGAGGGTGTACATAGGGCAGCCGGGGCGATGCCTCAACGAACAATTGCGTGAGTACAGTCTGGCCGTAAAAAGAAAAAATGATGGTCATTTAAATTTCCACTGTAGGACATGTGAATGCACGCCCCGATTTGAGAATGTGTCAGTCATGGCTAAGGCACGTGAAAAGACCGAAAGGGAGGTTATCGAAGCGTACTTTATCAGGCAATTTAATGACAAGTGCATAAGCATGCCTTTGGTTTCACTTTCGGAGAGGGAAATGGCCTTTCAGGAATACAAGGTCATGTTTGATGTTGTGGGTAGCAAATTGCAATGTGTTCTTTTTCATTCCTCTTCTTTTGTTTCGCTGATCTTTTTAAGAGTGCGCAGTCGTTTTCCCTGTTTTATTTCCCATGCGACGCTATGTAATGTTCTATAATGTTTTCTTTTTTTACTTTCTCGGTGTACTGCTTCATCGCGTTTGCTAAATTGGTGCTGCTTAGGGAGACTATAAAAATGTTTTATTGTTTTGTTCAATGATAAGCACTATTTTTAAAGTTTTAAAAAAGTCTTTAGAGTATGTTTTCATATGTTCACGCCTTTGTTGATGCTTGGTGCAATAAAGAGATTGAAAAGATAAGTAATAGATAAAATAAGAGTGTAAACTTCGTGAATATGCAGTTTAGATTGTTTTGGGTGTCACTTTTGTCATTTACCATTTTTCACATTTGTCATTGTGACAGTTATCACATTTTATTTGTTTTGTGATGGCTTTGTTTGCAACATCTCTGGTTTTGTGCGCATCGTGAAAGTGCAGCGTAGCGTGTATATATTGCCTTCCTGAAACGACAATAAACAGCTGGTGGCCTGCACTCTTTCTCGTCTCTCTTCTCGTTTTCCTTCAAGTTTGCACAGCAAGTCAATTTTTCAAGTATGGACCAACTAGTCTGCAAAAAAAGTATTGCTCCAAGGTACTATTTTGTAGAACGAAAGATCAATCGACGAGCTCAGTGGTTCATCAAGTTGCCCATGGGCATTTTTGCATCACTGTGCATACAGGGAGGATTGGTGAAGCATAGAAATTGTTTTTTGAAATGAAAGATCTGTGCGGCCTGCAATGCTGTTTTAATCGAAAAATGTGATCACCACGGTCTACTGTACAAATAGGCGAGCTTGTTCAAGAGGTGTGAAAGAACAGCCGAAGCCTGTTTCTTTTAAGCTTGACCCTTTAAGATATTAGTTTCAATCCAAAATAACTGAACGAGAATTTTTTTCGCTGCTCAACATGATAGCTCGTTACACACTGCGCTGTCCATGGTTTTTGTTTGACACTTCTGAAATTAATAGCTGCTGCTGCTCTACTAGTCATCGAGCTAGCGGGTTGGCATGTAATTACAAAAAGGTCAATATGAATCATTCGCGTGATTGTGGAAGTACCCCTGTCCTTGCACAAAGTGCGTTACCATTACCCCTATACCAGATCACCCGACACGTGTCGAACAAACAGACAAGACTGCTAGTGGTATTTTTATTTTTATAACATATTATAAGATTACACTGGGAACTTGAAACTGGAATAACTTTTTATGATCTACTTATCTGCTTGCATAAAGATGATAAGAGGATATTCACTAACACGCGATCTTCTGAAGTTTTTTGTTCAAGAGAACTAGCACTGCTCACAAACCTGATTAGTAGCAGGATGTGTCACAGAATAACACTGTGATTCACACTATTGCCACTCAGAACACTGATTTCCTGATGATTTGAAAGCACACAACACTTTACTTAAGAAAGAAATATAGTTTAAATAGCAAGGCATTTTCGTATAGTACAATAACAGTCAATAAGTTGTAAGATATGTGGCCAACTGAACAGCCGATGTGGACTAAAAATCAGACAGATGTTTACTAGCATTCATATGAGCCAAGAACGTATAAATGGCTTCTTGTTTTCTTGGTCAATAGAGTTAACGTTATCGCTGGTATGCTGACGCAAAGCTCATCATCTTTTTCTAGTAGACTGAACAGGGAAAATTCAACATAGGTAAACGAAATTCTGCTATCATGTGGGAAGACCTACATAGGGCACATTAGATGTTGCGTGAATGACTGTGCCAATCAGTGATAACGTGATTGTGGGAATGAGTGACATAAGTGGAAAAGAAATAAGGACGCAGGAAAAAAACAACAACTTGCCATTGATAGAAACTGACTGTAGTACCCTCAGGTAACAAACTGACTGTACTACCCTCAGGAACATTTAGAAGTATGCCATTCATGCGTGCCTCAATGGCACAATGAAGTCAGCCTGTTGGCACTTTCAGTACTGCGAGTATTTAGAATGCCCAAAGTAAACAGCAGCACAGACTGACCTGGGCTGATAAGGAGCCCTTTGCAGTTGGCTTGGCCAGTCAGGTGTCCTGTACAAAGAAAGCATCAAAGTATGTTGAAAAGTATGCGTTTTGAGACAAAGAAAGCTCATGACACACTCAATCATTGTAGCTGCCACTATCATCATCATCATCAGCCTGACTACGTCCACTGCAGGACAAAGGCCTCTCCCATGTTCCGCCAGTTAACCCGGTCCTGTGCTTGCTGCTGCCAATTTATACCCACAAACTTCTTAATCTCATCTGCCCACCTAACCTTCTGTCTCCCCCTAACCCGCTTGCCTTCTCTGGGAATCGAGTTAGTTACCCTTAACGACCAGCGGTTATCCTGTCTACACGCTACATGCCCGACCCATGTCCATTTCTTCTTCTTGATTTCAGCTATGATATCCTTAACCCCGGTTTGTTCCCTAATCCACTCTGCTCTCTTCTTGTCTCTTAAGGTTACACCTACCATTTTTCTTTCCATTGCTCGCTGCGTCGTCCTCAATTTAAGCTGAACCCTCTTTGTAAGTCTCCAGGTTTCTGCTCCGTAGCTAAGTACCGGCAAGATACAGCTGTTATATAACTTCCTCTTGAGGGATAGTGGCAATCTTCCTGTCATAATTTGAGAGTGTTTGCCAAATGTGCTCCACCCCATTCTTATTCTTCTAGTTACTTCAATCTCGTGGTTCGGCTCCGCGGTTATTACCTGCCCTAAGTAGACATAGTCTTTTACAACTTGAAGTGCACTATTACCTATCTCAAAGTGCTGCTCTTTTCCGAGGTTGTTGTACATTAGTTTCGTTTTCTGCAGATTCATTTTAAGACCCACCTTTCTGCTCTCCTTGTCTAACTCTGTAATCATGAGTTGCAATTCGTCCCCTGAGTTACTCAGCAATGCAATGTCATCGGCGAAGCGCAGGTTACTAAGGTGCTCTCCATTAACTCTTATCCCTAACTGTTCCCATTCTAGGCTTCTGAAAACCTCGTGTAAGCACGCGGTAAATAGCATTGGGGAGATTGTGTCCCCCTGCCTTACACCCTTCTTGATTGGTTGTCTGTTGCTTTCTTTATGAAGCACTACGGTAGCAGTTGATCCCCTGTAGATTTCTTCCAGTATGTTTATATATACTTCATCGACGCCCTGATTCCGCAGTGTCTGTATGACGGCTGATACTTCTACTGAATCAAACGCCTTCTCGTAATCTATGAAGGCTATATATAGTGGTTGGTTATATTCTGAGCATTTCTTTATTGTCTGATTGATAGTATGAATGTGGTCGATTGTTGAGTAGCTGTTCGAAATCCTGCTTGTTCCTTTGGTTGATTGAATTCTAATGTTTTCTTTATTCTGTTAGGAATTACCTTTGTATATAGCTTGTATACTACAGAGAGCAAGCTAATCGGCCTGTAGTTCTTCAAGTCCTTGTCTTGTCATCTCTTTTCTTATGTATTAAGATGATGTTAGCGTTCTTCCAAGACTGGTACTCTTCCCGTAAGGAGACACCTCGTAAACAGGGTGGCTAGTTTTTCTAACACAATCTGTCCTCCATCTTTCAGCAGATCTGATGTTACCTGATCCTCACCAGCAGCTTTGCCTCTTTGCATGCTCTCCAAAGCTTTTCTGACTTCTTCTATCATTACTGGTGGGGTGTCATCTGGGTTACTGCTAGTTTTTATGGTATTAAAGTCATGGTTGTGCCTGCTACTGTACAGATCTCTGTAAAACTCCTCCGCTATTTTAACTATTTTATCCATATTGGTAGTTATTTTGCCCTCTTTGTCCCGTAGTGCATACATCCGATTTTTGCCTATCCCAAGTTTCCTCTTCACTGCTTTGACGCTTCCTCCGTTTTTCAGAGCGTGTTCAATTCTCTCCATGTTATACCTTCTTACATCGGATACCTTACGCCTATTAATCAACTTCGAAAGCTCTGCCAGTTCTATTTTGTCTGTTGTACTTGAGACTTTCATGATTTGGCACTTCTTAATGAGATTCTTCGTTTTCTGGGAAAGCTTGCCAGTGTCCTGTCTAACTACCCTGCCTCCAACTTCCACTGCACACTCCGTAATGATACTCGTCAGATTATTATTCATTCTATCTATGCTAAGGTTGGTTTCCTCACTAAGAGCCGAGTACCTGTTCCGAAGCGAGACTCTGAATTCCTGTACTTTCCCTCTCAGTGCTAGCTCATTGATCGGCTTCTTGCGTATCAGTTTCTGTCGTTCCTTTTTCAAGTCTAGGCGAATTTGAGACCGTACCATTCTATGGTCACTGCATCGTACCTTGCCAACCACTTCCACATCCTGCACGATTCCTGGGTGTGCAGTCATTATAAAGTCTATTTCGTTCTTATTTTCGCCATTAGGGCTCCTCCATGTCCACTTGCGGTTTCCTGGTTTTCGGTAGAAGGTATTTAAAATCCGTAAATTATTGCGTTCTGCGAATTCTACTAGTAGCTCTCCTCTGGCGTTTCTAGTACCGATGCCATAATCTCCTACTGCCTGGTCTCCAGCCTGCTTCTTCCCTACCTTTGCATTAAAGTCTCCAATCAGTATTGTATACTGTGTTTTTACCTTACTCATTGCTGATTCCACATCTTCATAGAAGCTTTCAACTGAAGCGGTATCATAGCTGGATGTAGGCGCATAGGCCTGTACCACCTTCATCTTGTATCTCTTATTCAGTTTAATTACGATACCTACCACCTTTTCATTAATGCTATAGTATTCCTCTATGTTGCCAGCTATGTTTCTGTGAATTAGAAACCCCACTCCCAGTTCTCTTCTGTCAGCCAAACCCCTATAGCAAAGGACGTGCCCATTCTGTAGCACCATATCGGCCTCATCTGTCCTCCTAACCTCACTGAGCCCTATTATATCCCATTTAACACCCTCTAGCTCCTCGAATAGTACAGCTAGACTTCCCTCACTAGATAAGGTTCTAGCGTTGAACCTTGCCAAGTTCAGGTTCCACCATAGTTACATATATATATATATATTACTGGTGTGTTAATATTGGAAATCTTGAATATTTTTCAAATAGTGTTTGCTATTTCGATTCGATTTGTATCTGCATTTTACTACTCAATCTTCTTGAAATCATAAGTCAATGTCCGCTAGGCAGTGACCCCTTCAAATTTTAAATATGATTCACCCCATCACATTTTTGTATTGCTAAGAAACGGCCGACCAAGCTCTGCCACAGTCACAAATGTATTGGCTCAAGAAAATGATGGTTGCGTCATCGTGGGGCTCAATGCTGTTTTGGGCCTGAAATTTAGGCAGAAGATCTAAAAACTGAATGTCGAAGATTACTAGCATTTTATATTTCAAACATTCTTATATTCTAATGCCTATGGGGCAAATTTGGAACTCCGGTTTCAAAAGGAGTACACCCTTGTCCACCACATCAGTTGATTTTGCACGAAAGCTGAAACAGGAGAAGAAGCTCAGGTAATAGCATCTTTGCCTTTCATGTGTAAAGTGCTGTTGGCAACACTATGCTTGCACTGAATCAAGTATTTAAATAAAACTTGGCCTCTGCATTGCCACATGCTTGATAAGACAGCTACGAAACACACCACCCCACCAGCACTTTAACCTAGCCAAAAGAAAGTTAAAGAAAGTTTCCTCTTGCTATTTCATAAGAATATGCTTAGGCATGCAGTTTCTCACAAAAATAACTAGAGGGATAATGTGGAAATATATGAGTGCACAAGGTAAAGGAAAGGAAGCACTTTGGAAACGCTTGTGTCCCCCAGCTGTGTTCATGCTGTTAGGCGGCATCTGTCCATTCGAGGGCCATTGGAAAAGGATTTGAAAAATACTCGAAGCAAAGTCTTAGAAACAGGTACGTATCCTGAAAGACTGGCTGAGGGTAAACTTTTTTTTGAATCGCAAGGCCAAGGCCACTATGGTCATGCGCTGCTGGTGAAACAGCAAAGGTCAGTAAAACCGGCCACTGAGTCCATTTGGTCTAGTTGTCTCGCTCATTTAGTAATAAGCGGAGGCAAACAGTCAGGACAGGTAGAAACAGTGTTCGTAAGGGGTTCCAAAGTGTAGTTCGTGAAAAGATTGCTGATGAAAGGTCCCAAGTATAGTTTACCAGCCTCAGTACCCAGGCAGGAGCTCTTGGCCATAGCTCAGAAGTTGGCTGACTTGACGCCCGGTGAAGACAGACAGTTGCCTCTCAGCAGCAGTCGAGGCTTTAAGTCGTGCGCCACGTAGCGAGCTTCGCACTCGAATGGTTCTATGCAAGACAGCGGAGTGCGTCAACAACTTGGGTTTGGTTCTCTTACACTGTGATAAGGATGGTAGATTTGCTGTCCTACCCAAACCCTTAAAAAAACAAACAGAACAGCTATAGATTAAAAAGAACTTCAAACCGTTCAGTGAGACACCTTCCAAGATGTCTCACTGAATGGTTTAAAGCTCTTATCGGCTCTTATCGGAAGTGGGACTGGAAAGTCTTTCGAAAACCGTGAAGTCTTGCAAAAGTGACGTTCTAGTCTTTTCGGCCAAGACCCATAAGGTTGTGTGTCCCCTATGAGCCATTGTTATGGAAAGGAGATGGTGGCAGCATCTCGTCAGCTCCTACCTGCAATGACAACTGAACCTATTGGCTCCTGATGACTCCTTCAAGCTGAAGTATTCCAACGCATTAGCGGGAGACCTGTTGCCAGGCATGTGTGGTGCTGATTACGAATTTTGGGTTGATGTTGAAGAATTGTTTCATTCTGTCCCGCACAAAGAACTGTTTCTAGGTATACAGGAGGACATTGATTCTTTCAGGGTAGTAAACCTTCAAAACAATGCTTTAATAATGTAGAAAATTTCATGGAGCTACTTCAGTGCTACCTGTGTGTGACCTTGGTGAAATTTGATGATTTCACAGTTGTCCAAAGGTAAGGCATATGCATTGGGTCCTGTGTGCCCCCTGTGCTTTGTGAAATATTCTTAGCAAAACTTGACCGGAAGCTACAACATGAGCTCGTGGGACAACCTGTAGTTAATGTCAACAGATATGTCGACGACTTCCTAGTGGTGTTGAACATAGACGATAACTGTTCACCCACTTCAGAAGTAAACAACATTTTGGATTATTGTAAACAATGCACAAGTTCATTATCAATCACCCATGAACAACAAGCCAGAGATGCTTTGCAGTTTTTAGATCTTGACATTGATTTTATTCAAGTTGACCACGTTTGCTGGGAGTTTTCACCGCAGTCAAACAAGGGCTTGTTACCCTTTGACCCTTCTCACACCAAGATAATAAAAATTCCCACAGAAAGCTAATTCCTGCCTTGATTCCTCACGCAGCAAATCATGTTCGCATAAAATGGATTGCCATTTCTGGAATAAAGTGAGACCCCTACTCACTTCGGGTTACCCGGACAGCTTGCTTGTGGCAGGAGGCAGTACCGTGTTAAAGAAGTTGAAGAGGTTAGGTGCCACCAACACGCGAGAAAAAAGGCCAATGAAAACAGTTGTAGCCATGCCCTACATCCATAAAATGTGGCAGAGTTTGATGAAGTGGGTGCGAGCACGGAGTATATGTTGTTCTCAGGGCTCCCAGCAAACTGGCTAGACTGTGTCCCACAATAAAAAATCGTGGAAAGGAAAGGGTGCAAAAGAGCAGTTTCACAAAAAAACGTGCCACACTCTTTATACTGTGTACTTCAGGGGTTGTGTACGTATACCCTTGAGCTGCACCAAAGTGACATCGGCAAGACGGGCCGATGTTTAAATGATCGACTCAGAGAACATGCATCGATCTTGAAGGTTGTCGGAGATGTCACGCGCTTGTCAATGCACTGCAGGGATTGTGGGTGCAATGCGCAGTTTGGCAGCACGAGGGTTCTGGGCAAATCAAAACTTCAATTGACCAGAGAAATCATGGAAGGACAGCGCGAGGATTCTGGGCAAATCAAAACTCCCATTAATCAGAGAAATCATGGAAGCAGAACAGATTATGGGGAATGCAAGTTTGTCTATCAGTGTACTCTCAGTAACACAAGTAAAAAAGAGGTGTGTTTTTTGAGCAGTTGAAGAATATAAACATACCTTTGTGGGCGGGTGATGCCTTTATTAACTGAAAATTTGCACATGAACGTTTCGGTGTTCTCGTGCGTCTCTCTTGTCAAGAATAGTTTGGCTCAAGCTAGCTGGTTCATAGCATTGGTTCATAACACTCATTTTGAAAGGGCAGTGCAATGACACAAGGAAAGAAGTACAAGTGCTTTTTGTCAAGTGCTTCCTTCTTTCTATCATGTGCTCTCATATATTTCTACATTATGTTGTACTAACTAGCCCGGTGTTCCACTTTATTGTACCTAGAAAGAAATCTGGTGCCACCTTCAATGCAAATTTCTTAAGCGGCCTCGTTGCAGCACTGGGAATGACAGTATAGGTGTTGAGCGAGGCTTTGTCTCAAAAGCGGATACTGCGGAAATAGAGCTTCTTAAAACAAAACTATTATAAGCAGATCTCGTTCACACGTATTATATTCTAAAAGTCCACTCACCTTGACAGCACAACCAAATGGCAAAAGAAAGAAACAGAGAACATGAAATGGCAGACGCAATGCTGGCTTTGTCATTTGCCTGCCAAGTTTAGTGGTCGTTGGTTATTTTTCACGCTTCATAAAACTGTACACTAACCCAGAAGTTTCGAGCGTTAAATAAATCATGTTTCAGTACACTTAGAAAAAATAAAGAGCTTATTACATGCTCTTTTTGTAGGAAGTCAACCATTTACCGCAAGAAATGCATTAAAGCCAGACGCATCTTCGAGATATACAAATCCAAGTCAAGTTCGAAGCTCACATATTCCCGAGCATCCAGCAGCTCACTAGCGCCAGATTTCCCCTAGGTAATTTTGCGAGAAACTTCATATGCTTAGGTATCCTCTGCAGCTTTATTTTTGCCCATTAGATTCAAAGTACTCAGGAAAAAAAATATTCCAGAAATATTAGAAAAGTATTCAGCTTGATTCACAATCGCAGTTCAATACTCGAATTCAGTTGCACCCAAAATTTTCTACTCGCACAGATCTAGAAAAAACACACTAGAATGGTATTATTTTCTGCACTAACGTTTAAACCTGCCTATAACGAACCATAGTACAATGAATTTTAATATTAATGCACATATATAAAGTGGACAGGGAGATAGCCGCCATGCTAGCTCAGTTGATAGAGCATCTGACGCTTTATTCGAAGGTTGCAGGTTATCTTGCTGTTCACAGCAAGCTATCTTTTCGTCCACTTTTCTTTATTCACATTTACATTACAATTACTTCTAGTTGCATACCCTATACTTACCTAGGTATCACTGTCTCATAGATCGCATTAATATTGTGTCTAACAAAGAAAGTGAGCCCTTAAATGTACACTTTTTTCCTTCATTCATAGCGAGTGTCTCGTTCTGGTAAATTTAGTCCTTCAGGCAGTATACGAGGGATTATGGGCCAGATGTCGACTTGCAATAAGTTCACAAGCTACGTCGCACCAATACAGGCAGATAAAGAGTGTTCTACACTCGCCGTCATATCAAAAATGCCAATAAAGATGTATTGGTTTCATAGAAAAATCTTATTGGATCTATAAGAGCTGTATTGGTACTTTATTGGTCTTATTAGAATTTTGTTGGCACCTATAAAAATAAATTACCTTCACCTATTTGTCACCAATGAGGTACCTATAGGTTGTAGCTCTTCGTCACCCATAGAACCAATAGGCACGTATTGGTGCCATTAGGGTTTCATAGGAGACAGCTAATTGATAGGCGACAACTATTGGTACTCATAGACTGTAATAAGTGAGACATATTTGTCGCCCATAGAACCAATAAACAGCAGCTATTCATCATTTATAAAACTAGCTGGTGTGACTTACTACTAAAATCAAGTAATTGTGAGGTTATATTAATGGTATTAGAGGCCATTCATATGTATTTCAGTCATTGGCAAATTCAATCAAAAGGGAGTTTTTGATTTGTTCAATATATGAGCAAAGTGACATAACTATGCGTATTCCAAAATATTGCACCCAGATTTTTCATAAATATCACCAAAATAATTTGACACCTATAGTGAACATGAGTAATTTCATTCTGCATTCAAGATTATGATTATAATGTTGGTGGGCTTCATAAGCCCACAAAATAAGTGTTTACAAAAAGGCACGTTATCATAGAGCTGAAAAAAGAATGTGACTGCACGTAATGTCTCAGCAGAGAGCAAAAAAAAAAAAAATCGTGAACAGTACGTCTTCTCGCTTCCCTTGTCGGGTAACTTCTCGAACACTTGTAGCTTTGGAGGTAATAATAAGACAAGTCATTCATGATGTATAATAACGAGACTAGCGTGACCAAGCCAAGAGCATGGTGAAGACAAATGCTAACAGCGCTGTCGCTCCTGTACGTAGTGAATGCGTAGGCGAGCTCATTCGAGCACTGAAAAGTGAACATTAATGTTCCTGTTTGCTGCCGTGGCCCGCAAGTTCGTGTACCGCAGGGCAGCACGAACTCCCTGCGGTAAGAGAAATTGACGTCGCTGATGTGTGGGACAGTTACATAGAAATTCTTATTCTTATTTCAGCACAAATTGAAACGAAAAAGGTCTAACATTTGAAAGATGCTGTAGTGCAATACAAGCTTAAAGAAACAAAAAAAAGACTATAATGTTGCCAGTATGTTTTACAATTTATTTTTATTTGTGCCACCGACACTTCAGTTTTCTATGCTTTTAATAATTTTTTAATGTGTCTAAAGCTGACTATATTTGATGAGAGAAAAAATATTGCAATAAAAAGTGAGAGAATAAACTGTTGTTTTTGTGACATGACCATGGCAAGAGTGCTCAAGCCAGCAAGCGTGCGTGCGAGCCGACTACAGCCAGCCACAGCCGTTGTTGGCTAAGTGTGTTGAAGGCGTGGTCGTGCTCGGTGTTTGTATAGATTTTAAAGTGTTTTAAAACTAAATTGGCACATGAAATTGCGACGATGATGCTAAATTAGTCATGAACGTCAAAGGAGTTACAGTGTTAAAAGCAGCGCCTCAGACTTAAACAGCAGTAAATGGTACCGGTGCGGACACAATGCCTACCAAGGTGATTTCTTCCGAGTGAATACCCTGCGGCTGCAAGGTAAGTGATCTGTTTTTATATATTTGTTAGTCAATACAAGTTGCTTTTCTTTTGCTTCTAATTAGTGTATTTGCCAGCGATCAAAGCATGTCCCCATTAAAAGTCTTTGACAGCTTTATTTACTCCAATACTTTTTCTGAGAGTGAGTGAGAATTTATTAGAAGGCAGAGAGGTCGGCCTGAGCTAGTTCGCTCTAGCCTGCTACTCTACACAGGGGAGAAGGGAAAGAGGAAAGGAAGAGGGATGAAGGGTGATGATGGGGACAAGAAGAGGTGGATAGTTTTTCTGCTCTGCAGTACAACACTTTTGAACATTGTGGGGGCTGTTGGCATATACAAACACTGGCATAAATGCATGTTATTGACTAGCACATTGTTTTCGTGGTAATTCAAAAAGACTAAAATATTATTGTCTTTGTTCAATCATAGCCAACTCCACGAATCGCACTGTGGGTTTTCTACGTAGAAATTTAAGACTTGCGCCCCCGTCAGTTAAACTAATATTGTATGTGGCACTTGTTCGTCCAAAATTAGAGTATGCATGTTCTGTCTGGGATCCCCACCAATCTCACTTATCCAACATTCTCGAATCGATTCAAAACCGTGCTGCGTGTTTTATCTACTTTGAATATACCTACAATGCCAGTGTTTCCAAACTTAAAACTAGTGCTCACCTTTATAATCTAGAATTACGACGTCACATATCTCGACTATGCCTTCTTCACAAATTTTATCATGCCCCCATTGAAGTTCCAGCCATCCTGCCAGTCCATCGCTCATCGAGCCGCACAAACCATTCAAGCGCAGTGTATCCTCCACCAGCCCAAAGCACCGCACATTTTCCCAACTTTTTTGTGACAACCGCACGGGACTGGAACCGTCTGCCTGCAACTACCATGCACCACTCCGACCCGCATCGATTCAAGATTGCCCTTAAATCACTTTTTTTATTCTGTAATTAATATCCATCCCTCATGTAATACCCCAGCTGGGGCCCTTGAGGTATTCAAAATATAAAAAAAATTAAAAAATAAAATAATAGTACACTTCGGGGATAGGGAAGAAGCTGAGCTTATTGCCAACAAAAATCTGGTGCAGCTCTCCCATCATTATTAGCATTCATGCTCACAGAACCCCATTCTGTAGCATACACGGCTGCAGTAGACAGTCGCTTATTTAGTGAAGCTTTTTGTTTGACTCCTGAAGCTCAAATGCAGGGACTGATTTGGTGCTAGTGCAGTTTCACTTTGCCCACAAGTGTCCTAAGTCCACCCATGTGACTGAGGTCTTGTTTCTGGGACACAAGCATAATCAAATCCTCTGCACAGATGTGACAAAATATTCGACCTTACTGTGTGAAGCTGTTACCTACTGCGAGCTCACCGGAATTTCCCTTATGCTGGTTCTCCATTTTTTAATGCAAGAATTTTTTCAGTAGCACTTCTAAAAATTTTCCTTCCTTCTTCCTGGTAATTTATGTTTTTCTTTTCAGACACAACTTAGAGAAGTGGTGTAGTGGCATACATTCAACAAGAAAGAACAGCAAGCTTGGAAAGCTTGTTTTGGGGAAGATTGCATATTTGATGAAATTATCTTCTACTAATTATATATATATATTACAGACCTCACTTTGAATGGATTTTTTTCGTTTATTAGAGGCTACGTTTATTAGAGACACACACATTGATATGACATTATACTACTGTGTAATGCCATATCAACTGTGCGTATAATTTATCTTACTGTTTGTAATCTGACTTTACTGCCACGAGTAACCATTGTGTGCGCATGAACCTATGTTGCATGTGAGTGACCCTGTTTTTGGTATATATGTGTGTGTGTGTGCATACGAAGAAGGCACAGAGAAAAGTTAAAAAAAAAATGACTTTGAAGACACATTTGAAGGAGAGAGCTCCCTCGGCGCACACGTAACGCGTGTCGCACCCGCACATGGCGCCATCTATCGCCACGCGCCGTTACCAGAAAAGAAAAGCAAAAAGATTGCGGCCGTGCGGCGGAATGCCCGCGAAATCGTCGCGGGCGCGCCTCAGATTCCCACATCTTCCTCTCCTCAATTCACCCTATATACCGATCTGCAAAGGCAGCCGGTCGTCGTCTATGCATGCAAGAACGTCATGCAATAGCTAGCTTCATCCTCGCTCTGCAACTGCTGCTGAAGAAAAAAAATAAAACAACACAACAACACTTGAGAAATACATTGAAGAAGCATGGCTATTTGGGCTCATTCAGTTAAGTTCAGTTGGTAGTCAGCGCTCATGTTGTCCTCTTTGCTTTCCTTGCCTCGCCTTTCGTTTCACGTTTCTTCCAGCACCTTCGTGCTTGCGCTGCAGCCCTTATTATCATGAGAAATACAATGGCGCCGTGGAAGAGGGGTAACGGGAGTTCATGGTGCTCACGCAAGAGAGGTCCACAGCTCAGAGGGGAAGCGTCACATAATGTTTGGCTTGGGTGAGTGTGTGGATGCGAGAGTTCAAGGCGAGAGTTCTGGTTGAGGCCCTCATACAAGGAATGGGCTCACCATCGCCTCGTCCATATTAACGACAGGCCGGCGAGTCCGACGAACGCCGCCTCAGTGGAGGTTCGATGGACCTCATTGCGACAGCCGGGCCCTTCTGCTGGAATCATGGTTGCCAAATCCACTGGCTGCGAGACGTCTCGGCGTCGGTCGAGTCGTGCACAGCGTCTGCGACAGCTGGCCTTGCGCAGGAGCCGTGATAGAAAGGCCGACAGAGCTCCTCAGGAACGGTCGGGAGCAGGGCACAACAGGGCTGCCTAACGAACACAGGTCTCCAAACACCTCCAGAGTCCAAGGTGGTGTAGAGGCCAGTGACTTCCTAAGTTGTCGTCGCCACCACGCACGTACACACGCACACACACCTCCCATGGTCGGGTCTCTCCGAACGCGCCCCGCAAAGGAAGGCGCAGAGTGTCCTTTGTCCCTCTCCCCACGCTAAAGCACCGATTCAAGATCCCCTCCTCTAGCGAGGAGAAAAAAAAACACGAAAAAAAAAACATTAAGCGAACAAGAACACTCAAATAAAAATCAGCAGCAGCAACTGGACGGAGACGACTTCCTTGCAAGCACTGGCTGTAACAAAGTTAGCTAACTGAGACTAGACAGTAAAAATGAGGGCCTTCGGTAGCAGAAATAAGCCCGCCGTCCGACGCGAAATCACTCAGGTGACCACTTTCTCAGATTATACCGGTGCATGGTCCGAATGCGGTTCGCCGCACCGGGCGTGCGCCGTTGCTTGCGCGAAGAGCCACTGGGCGCTGGCCCAGGCTTGTCAGACCTCGACGCAAAGGCTTTCAGGTCTGCGATGTGGGCACAGCCGAGTTTTCCCGAAAGCGGGTCTTTCAGCAAATACGCGAGTGGAGTCCAAGCTTTCTCTACACGGTACGAACCAAGCCACTTGGGAGCGAGCGAAGCTGGAAACCCTTGCTCGCATTGATAAGAGTGTGGTTGCGTTTTAGGACGAGGTCACCTACTTTAAATGAAAGGTGGCGACCTTTTCAGTCGTACTGGGCCTTTTGCTCGGCCCCGGCCGATGCCAAACCCTTGCCTCGCTCTACTGAGAGCTCGACAAAGCCTGTCTCGAAGTGTTGAAGCGTAAGCAGAACAGTCTGCCGGTTCTCCCTCGTCCCCGTGCTGGCATTGCATGACACTGGTAACTGGATTTGCCAACTCCCTTCTGAAATTAAGGAAGTCGGGAGAGAAATCAGTAGAGCAACTCTCGGAGGTTCGGATTGCGAACGCGAGTTCACTCAAATGGTCTGCCCAGTCCCTTTGACTTTCGGCAAAGGCCGCCAACATCGGTTTGAGCGTACGATTGGTTCGCTCCGTCAAATTGGACTGGGGATGGTAGGGCGAAGTGGTGCAGTGATCAATTCCTAGCGAACAGCATGTATCACCAAACACCCGAGCGGTGAAATACAAGGCGTTGTCCGTGATCAATCTTTTCGGAAAGCCGTACAGACAAAACACTTCCTGCAGTTTCTTAAGCACCACTCGCGCTGTCACTTTCCGCAGCGGAAACAACTCCACCCATTTGGAAAAATGATCAACGACTACCATCAGATGTATGAACCCCTGCTTACTCCTGGGGAACGGCCCAATTAGATCGCAGGTGGCTACTTGCCACGGACGCTCACTGACAATCGGTTTTATCAAGCCGGGCGGCTTGCCACCCCTTGATTTCACCGGTTGACAGACGTGGCAGGAACGGCAATAGCGAAAATTGTCACGCTTCATGCCAAGCCAAGTCACAACTTTGCTCAGTTTCGCAAAAACTTTGGAGCCACTCAGGTGACCGGCCATAAGCTCGTCGTGAGAGGCTCGCAACAGTGCGCCTCTCAGACTTTTGGGCACAACCACCTTAAACGAGTCCACTGACTCCTCATCGGTGGCTATGTATTTCAGCAGGAGTCATCATGGTCTAGCAAGTATGTATCCACGGGGGACCCAGCGACACACGCCGGTTCCCGTCCCCCTGCGCCCGCCACACTACCAGCAGCGTCTCAGCACTCCGTCTTCCTGAGACCGTCGCTCAACTCGCGACAAAACGGATCATCTTGCTGGGCCTTCAGTAACTCTTGTCTGCTGAAAGCGATTCCCATTCTCCCAAAGAGGAGCCTAGTATTGTTCCCATTCAGGACTGCAGCCATCGCCTTCACTCGCATTGGCGTCGTGGCGATAGACGGCGCGTGGCGCTATCTATTGCCATGCGCCGTTACCAGAGCAGAAAAGCAAAAAGGTGTGGCTATGCGGCGGAATGCCCGCGAAATAGTCGCGGGCACGCCTGAGAACATTGGCCACGATGCAAAGCTAATGTAACGCACGGTTCAATGAACACTTTTTAATAAGCTAACGTAGGCAGGGCGAACTTGTGCCTGAGAATACTAACACAGCTAGAATGAAATCTAGTTCTCTCGAGGATCACCTCTGCCTCCTTTTCCACGTTCTTCTTTTTTCCAACATGG